ACACTAGTCACTAAAACTCCGCTATTGCAATTTTCTGATATCACCTGAGGTCCATAGATTAGTTTACGTCCGATCATGGCCACCTAGATGCAATTTTAAAAGTGACTCTGAAAAAATCAAGTAGGCTGAAAAACTTCCGGAAATGTCAGTTTCTGATCCAGAATTGTCTCAGAAATCCAAAAATGTTACAATATACAGGGTGTTCCATTTAAAAATTCAGAACCGGAGCCATTTCCGCTGAAACCGGAAGTGACCGGAAAGTGAAAAATATGTGAAAACATTCCTCTCCACATACCATTCAACTATACCAAATCTCATTTCAATTCTCCTAATAGTCTAGAAATTATGACTTGTCTAATAGATTCGTTGACACCCGGTATGTACTGCCAGAAAAGCATTAGACTAGTAAGATGGGTATTTCGTCGTTAATACACTTCCTCTCGTACATTCAAAGAAGTAACATTATTTTGAAAGTCACTACCAATGATGGTGTTATTTTTTCCAAAATGACAATTGACTGTGAATTGAATTATTCATTTTTATGGTCTCTCCCTTAGTCTGATATCCCAATTAGCAAACCCCTAGCTGTATGAATGCAATATTTTTGCAGTTAATGGGGAGATAAAACAAACAAGGTTTATACTACAAATATTTCTCTATATAAAACCTACATTTTATCCTTCCAATTCAATCGAAACTGAAAATATGTTATTTAATCCATATTAAGATAAGGAATAACTGAAGTAATTTTATGTTGCCATTTGAACTGTCTCATATTGAAACTTAATTGTTGGCAAATATATTTCAACGAAGAACACTTCCTGAAAAGGACAACATTTTGTAGATGCATTTTCCGTGTAATTCGCTTGTTGGACGGAAATGAATATAACACTACTTGAGAAAGTTTGAGAGAAGTTCCATGTGTAACGCCTGTTTTATTTTATAACGATTACCACCACCCCGTACCACTTAATAATACATTCATTAGAATCCGCTAACTAGATGATCAAAGAAGGGCATGAGGTATAGATTCAGAGATTGATCGGACGATATCAGATATTCTGCAATAAGGGCATATGAGTCTGGATGTTTATGTCTATCAGCCGAAGTGCTGTTAACTAGAAATTCATAATTCTTGTGCCCATTCCATAACTTTCGATCTTCTCGCATTTGATGGACTTTTAAAATTCAAATCTACGATTTTGCAAATATAAACCGTGTGGGGAAACTTCAATCTTCTGGTTCCCAACCACAAGGGATGCATGATGGTGGCACGTCTACAATTGGCGCAGGAGCATAGAAATTGGCGAAACAAAACTTTTCGAGTCGACGACAGTCGACTTCACGGAGTGTGGAGAGGATCAGGGCTACAAGAACGAATTGTTGTTGCTAAAGGAGTGCCCTATCAAAAAAATTGTTATTCTTTGGGATGCTCAGTGTATGACGGTCGAATGCAACTTGAACGTGTTTCGTTTCCACTTAACATGAATCCCATCGAGCATTAATAAGATATGGAGAAGCTTGGAACAATATATCACAGGAAGCCATCATTACCCGAT